TTATCTCTCACCTTTTTGCTTTTGCCTTATTCACTGTATTCCAGTGCTACTGACTACCTTGATATTTCTGAAACCCACCAGGCAAGCTCCAGTTTTTATCTCATCCTAGAAAGTTTTCCCCCAGATACCAACATGGATAACTCCTACAGCTTCTGTAACCCTTTGATAATATCTTACCTTTTCAATAAGGCATATACTGATCATCCTATTTAACAACACAACCTTCCTTCTGTACTTCCAAACCCACTCATCCAGCTCTATTTTTTCCATAGCACTTGCCACTTTCTATCTTCTATAATAAACACTTATGAATTATGCTAATTGTTAATTGACTCTCCCTGCTGCCAGAAAACCAGCTCCACAAAGTCAGGCATCTGTCTTACTCCACAGAGTAGGTGCTTATTTGTTGAAAGAATGAGTGCTGTTTTTAAAAGTAAAAGAAACATGAATATCAGTGGATGCTGGCCCACCATCTGTCCTTAAATTTCATTCTTTGGCCGTAGCACGTGCTGTATCTATTTAGACAGTATTTCTCCCATTTTCCATATGGAAACCCCATTCTTTCTGCTAAAATGACTCTTCCTAAGCAATTCTCTTAGAAATGCTTGACGATCTCCTCTCATAAGCCCATATGATATATAGTTCAAACTTATTATAGTGTCTAAAATTATGTGCTAATTTATATTTAGACATCTGCTTAGCCACAGACTTCATCCCTCCCTAACCAAGAACGCTTATCTTTCATCTTTGTATTTATAGCATCTAGCTTAGTGATTGACATATCTTCAAGCTTTGCATTAATGAAATAAACGATGATGATTTCCTGTTACCTATGGCAAGACCACCACAGACCTAAAAGAGGCTTAGATTCATAAGAGCTTTACAAAAATTTAATAGTCTCATTTCTGCAATTGGTTTATGATATGCGTGTTGTTCTAAAGACCAAAGGCTTTAAACAGAATTACTTGGATTTTCTTCTCAGAAAGCATTTCTAAGTAGGATACAGTATAATAATTCGGAAAATGTCTAATGTCTGTTGGTTGTCGTGTGTGTATACATACAGGTTGAAGGAAAGGGAACAGAAAGAGGTTGAGGGCTAATGTTGAACTCCATTGAAATTATTTTTCAAGCACACTTCAAAAGCAGCCCCTTCTTCCTGAGGTGATATACAGTCTGTCTCACATGCATCTGTCTCTCTAGAGGCTATAAACGATGCAAATCAGCAGCATCCATATTTTAGCAAAAGCAGTTTAAGAAGAGCAGCATATCAATTTCTCATCACTTTTGCTTTTGGTAAAATTTGCAACCTATGCATAGGGATGTGTTAGGACAGCTTCTGTGGAATTTGTCAAGAAAAAATTAGCCAAGTGTATAATGTATCATGAGCCCTTTAGCTAATCATGATCCTTCTTCTCTCAAATGGCTCCAAAATAGCCCTTATTTAATTCAGTCATATATATTCAGAATTATGTACAGCATCCAACCAATGACAAAATACCAGTAGAGCAAATAGTGTAAGATTTTCATTTGATTTTTAAATTTGTTTTTTAGTGAAAGCTTTGTAAGTCAATATGAAGAAAACTATTAATATGCAGATTAATATTCCACTATTTTAAGTTGTTTTCCTTCTTTAATAAAAGTTTTTCCATTTGTTCCTGTGCACATTTCACTGAAACTAATTGTGAGAAAGAAAAACCTTTAAGTTATTATTTTTAAATTTGTTTATGCATAAAAGTAACAATCATTTTCAATAAGAAAATCTTTGTTGTTAGAAGTTATAACTTTGATTTGAGAGAATATTTTTTGACATGATTCTAGAGTGATAACTGATAGTATAAAATGTTAGCAGATACAAACCAACAAGGATGGAATAGAGGATGCCTGGCCGATCTGATGGAGGCTGAATATTCCGGTCCCGATCAATGGCTTGGATCGATGGGGTAACGATAATGGGGTTCAGTTCTTCCTAGAAAAAAAAATCAGACAGTTTAGTTCAGTTGCATTACTAATTCCTTATGGAGAACTGACACTCAGATACTGTTATTTGGACAGCTAGATGACATCTGAGCCTGTAGTTAAACTCATGTTTCAAGATTTGTAATCTAATATCTTATTGTAGTTAATTTTGAATCTGAAGAGGAAGCTAGATGTCCTCGAAGTCAAAATGAAAAGACATAGCAGTTAGATCCATAAAACTTTATGTAGGAATTGCTCCTAAAAGGAAAGCAACAAGAAAGATAACAATACATTTTAAATCTTCACTAGAGAATTTGGTTGAAAGAAATATAAGGTTATCAAATAGTTTATGAGGTACAGTTTTTCTCCTTGCTTTAGACAAGATTTGTAAAAATATTCTTCCCAACTATTTTTAAAGTTTCAAGTAAATTAATTACATTAAAATAAAAACGTTTAAAATAAATGCTTTAATTCAATAGAAATCAAAGCTACATCATTGCAATTTTATATAATTAAAATTGATTATATATTATGCAGTTACATACATTTGATTTATAGTGATCTGCACGAAGATTCTGTTTAAAATTATAATGCATTTCTTTAAGTCAGTGTGTCCTAATTTGATGTTCAGTGGTATTCTGTTGTGCTATCAGGATTGGCAAACTTTTTCTGCAAAGGACCAGATAATAAATATGTTTAGGCTTTCCCAGCCATACGGTGCATGTTATAGCTACTCAACTCTGCCATTATAGAATGAAAACCACGAGTGGGCATGGCTACGTTGCTACAAAATTGTATTTACAAAAACAGGTGGTGAGTGTCACATAGTTTACAGACCCCTGTGATCACAATAGGTAAGCTAAAAAAAAATTTTTTTTTTTAAATAAGTATGCTGGAAAAAATGAATAAAAAGCTTCTCTACACAGATAAGCTTGGGAAATATGATATTAAATAAAGTTTAGAAAAACTAATTTACAGTATTTTACAGTTTTACAGTTTTTACTGAAGGTCTTTTCAGAAACTTAAGAATGCTAATTTGCATAATGACTATCTAAGAAGGGGATATCATTTGCACATTTTCTAGAAATACCTATTAACATCTCCTTGAACTAATACCCTTAGAACACAGTTTGGGAAATACTACTTTACATTTTTGCAGCCCTCAGCCCAAATATATTAGTGGTAATTCTATAGGGAAATAAAGTCTGTCTCAATATCTGACAACTTCATATTCTAAGGAATTATTGCAATGTTCTTTTATATTATTTCTTCCCAAATGACAGAACATTGAAATATGCCATGTACTCTTATTCAAAACCAGTAGATTTAATTCTCAGCAGAAATGTATAGTGATAGCATGCTGAAAATAAAGAGAAATTATATTAAACTATTATGTGTAATACCTAACTTTGTATTGAAACTCTAATAACTAAGGATAATTGTTTACCAATAATTTGGACACCACATACATCTTAGAAGCTCTCTCGCATTCATTATCGCTAGTAGGCTCCCAGTGGTCTAAAAGCTATTAATATACCCCTGAAAATCAAAAGCTATGGGTTGTAGCAACTTACAAATATTCTATTCTCGTCTATAAATGTGAATTCAGAAACATGAAAATATCAAACTATATCAAAATTACTCCACTGAATTCAGATGATTATCGTTCTTCTCAAATAAAACATTTCCACTAATCTCTTCCTTTCACTTCCTCTTTCAAAATTACTCCACTGAATTCAGATGATTATCGTTCTTCTCAAATAAAACATTTCCACTAAGCTCTTCCTTTCACTTCCTCTTTCTCCCTCTCTCTCTCTCTCTCACACACACACACACACACACACAAGCCTTCCCAATAGTCAGTTTACTTCACATGTAATGCTTGTATTTTTCCATAACTTCAAAAAATCTGAGGCTCCTCCAAGTTTATATGCTTGAACATAGGAGCTAAGGGTTGATCAGCTATTTACAGTAAAAGGAATCTGATTGCATCTGCCAAAGTCAGTTTACAGTTAAGCTACTTCATTCGTAGTTCAACTAATTACATCTGTGGGTGCTTTTCCAAACGTTTGGCTGTACTCAGACCCTGTGAAGGCATTTTAAATCTGAAGACTTTATGCAGTACCATTTCTGCTTTCTGTGGTCAAAGATATATACCAACGGATCCTAAACAATCTCTGGCTTTTTGAAATAACTTAATTCCTTACCTGGAATTTTTAAATATTTAATCTGAGCTTTTCTGTGCCAGTGCTAAATGTGAATAGATCACAATATTTGATGGTATCCCTGCTGACCAACTTCACTCTACTTATTTCTGCTAAGTTACCAAAACATAAGTAGTTTAGCATTAGTAATTAGTTATGTACTTTAAAAATCTTTTTCAGTAATATGTAGAGGAGTTGTAATGAGTAATAGAGTTTGAATTATATTAAAGTTATACAAACAATAAAAAAGATGAAAATAACAAGGTAAACAAAATCAAGAGGGAAGGGGAAGTTCTAACTAAATTTCCCATCTCAAATAGTTGATTGTTAATAAATACCCTATAGGGAAAACAGGAGAAATAAAAATAAATGTGTGTTATTTAGAATTTTGTTAGTAATCATCAAAAGAATTAAAAGTGGAAGTAACAAAATGTAAATATCTGAGGAGACCTGGGTCTAGAAGTGAAGGTAGATTGAATGAAAGATATTTTACTTAAAACCATCCAGTGATATTCAACTATGCCATTACCATACCCTGTACTATTTGTAATATTCTAAAGAAATAAATTATAGTAGAAAGAATAAAAAAATACATTCTCTTGGTAAAGGCTTCAACAGGTTTCTGGAAATTTGGGCGAAGTGGTTTTGCTCAAATAACTTATTAGGAGTGACTCTTTGTATTTTCTTGTAGAGAGTAGCAACTTATCTTAAGAGAATTATCTTTCTTCTGCTACCATTAATGAATAGGTTGAAAAATCTAGGATTAAAGGTGAAAAGAATGAATTCTCAAATACGATGTCTACCGAAACCTCCCAAATAAGTTATAATATTTGATTCTTAAGAATTTTGAAAATTCCTTTTGCATAACGTTAAAGGATACTAAGAATTGTGTTTTAAGTTGATACTGCTTATACTTAATATAATGTTTAAAAGATAAATAGCATTTAAGTCAGAGTTAGAAAATTATATATGTATTCATTAGATGAAACAATATAAAAAACATACATTATTTCTGAGCTTTTGTCTTCCCCCCAAATCTCCATGGGTGATAGAACCAGGCACGGGAGGGTATGCATATAAATAAGAAGAACACATAGGAAAACAATTTCTTAGAATAAGTAAAATTTTTACAGAGAAAACAGAGATCAAAAACTTGCTTTTATATAAATTGGGAAATACTCTGTAGCCAACAACACATACAAACATTTAGTAAAATTAACCAGGTACTAAGTGACCAAAGTAATCCATCAACATAATACATAATTCATTTTAACCAAACTACATTCTCTGACCACAATGAAATTAGAAATCAATAAAATAATATTTTTAAAATACACTGAAGAAGCACCCCATACATTTAGAAAATAACACTTTTTAAAAGCAATTTCTGAGTTAAAGAATAAATGCTAAATGATAAAATATTTAAAAGTGAATGAAAATGACATCCTTAGATATCAAAATGTGTGAGATACAAGAAGAACAGTGCCTGTAATGCATACAGTGGGAGCTAGTACAAAGAGTGATAATAAATAAGTAAGCATTCATTTAAAGTATTTTTTGAAAAAGAGAACAAGGTAAATCCAAAGAAAACTGAGTAAAAATAATACAAGTGAGTTTTTTCAAAAAGCAATATGCCGTAGTCCAGTATGTAATGCTGATGAACCATAGAAACAGGTAGGAGAGAACGTCCTGTGCTCACGTTACCAAGTACCAGCACATTACCATCCGAGAATTTCCTGAAACAACAGCATTCTTATAACTAACTCCTTTTTCTCTAAGATATTTTGAGATAGGTATATGGACTTTGAACTTAGAATATTAATCTATATAAATGGGTCTAGAAAAGAGTAACAAATGGTATGTTGACTCTCTTAAAGACATTTTACTTACTTTCCCTTTAACCTTCTAAATTCTGTTCAATGAAGAGAACAATTCTTCTTGCCTGCAAATTCGAATCTGTAATCACTTACGGGATTTGGCAAATGGGCAGATTTTATTTTATTTTATTTATTTATTTGTTTATACATTCATTCATTCATTCATTTGCCAATTTGTACTCTGTTGAACTATCCAATTTGGTAAGAGATCATTACCCTCAGGTAGACTTTTTAGTATCCTCTACCAAGAAAATGGTCCATCGTTGGCTAGTACCAGAACAATTCCACAGCTCTTGTGAAAGGCAATCAATTCTGAGATGTATTTCTTCTGAAGAATAGATTCTCTTCGAGTAGATAGTAATTACTATTGCCTATTTTCCCCTGGTCTTCCTCATTTCTCTTAGCTACTGATTTGACTTTCCGGGTTATAGAAGAAGCACATGTTCAAAAAATTAGAAATGCACCCATAACTCAAATATGCTTGAGTATTCTTTATGGGAAGGGTCAAAATGTTCCTCTATCATAGTATAATTGCTATAATTAGCTCTTTACTGAAAGCTTTATTGGCTTTTGGACAGAAAATATTTCACTCATGTTGATAATCTTCAGCCTCATGCCTCACAGTTTTCAACAAATTTTCATAATCAAGTTGAGTTCCAAGAGACACATTAAAAAGCCACCAAACTCTAAAGAAACGCTGCTTTCTTTGCAGTCTCGTTTGTTTCTAAGAAAAAGTAATGTCTCTTACATTCTGTTCCAGCTGATGGATGTACATTAGATGTGCATAGAGTAGTGTTTCATGTACAGAGATTATTTTGGTCCATGTACAGAAATTCATAGTGTGAAGATAATCATACAAACTATACTATAAAACAATAAAAAAAAGTGTCCTTTAAAAATACTGTGGAGTTCTATAATTATAAAACTCG